AGGCGCAGGCCCCGCCCCGCCCCCAAGCCCAGGCTCCACCTCGGTAACGTAATCTCCTCCCCACTCCCACTCTTGCCTCCAGCCCCGCCATCTTGGATCCGGGCAGCGTTCGGGCGCCCACCCTGCCGCTAGGGGTCAGCCTGGCACAGCCTTGTGCATCCGAGGGTGGTCCCACCTTCCCTCCTCCCCCTGGTCCTTTTTGGGGTGGGAGGTCCTCAAGATCCTTTTGAGACGAGGTGCTCCACCCTGTTACGCAAGCGCATTCACATATTTTCTCTGCAACTTAAATAAATTAATGCGTCTAACCACTTTATGATCGGAGCCTTTGTGCTGGGCGGGGCGAGCCCTGGCATTTTCTATGGACTCGGAAAGGGGATGCTAAAGGGGTTTTCCGGCCAGACGCCGTGGCTCTCGACTGTAATCCCAGTACTTTGGGAGGCCTAGGAGAGATAATTAGTTTGGCCAGAAGTTCGAGACCAGCCTTTCTTCAAAACATTTAAAAATTAGCCAGGTAGCTGTGGTTCACGCCCGTAATCCCAGCACTTTGGGAGGCAGAGGCGGGCGGATCACGAGGTCAGGAGTTCGAGACCAGCCTGGCCAACGTGGTGAAACCCCCGTCTCTATTAAAAATACCAAAAATTGACTGGGCGTGGTGGCGCACGCCTGTAATCTCAGCTACTCCGGAGGCTGAGGCAGGAGAATCGCTTGAACCCAGGAGGCGGATGTTGCAGTCAGCCAAGATCGTGCCACTGCACTCCAGTGGGGCAACAGTGCAAGACTCCTTCTCAAAAAAAAAAAAAAAAAAAAAAAAAAAATTACCCAGGAATGTTGGCGTGTTTCTGTCGTCCTAGCTCTACAAAGGTTGAGGTGGGAGGATGGCTTGAGCCCAGGAGGTCGAGACTGCTGTGAGCCGTGATAGAGCCACTGCACTCCAGTCTGGGTGACAGAGCAAGACCCTGTCTCAAAAAAAATAAAAAAATAAAAAAAGATAAAAGTTTAAAAATAGGGGGGGAGGGATGGCACTGGGAGTTATACTTGATGTAAATGATGAGTTGATGGGTGCTGAT